TTATTATTTAAGAAAAATGGCCACTTGGATCTAGAAGGTTACACTGACGCAGATTATGCAGGAAATATTACAGATAGACGTTCTACATTAGGTTACTTCACATTTGTTGGTGGTACCCTAGTTACATGGCGTAGCAAGAAGCAAAACGTTGTATCTCGGTCCTCTGCAGAGTCTGACTACAAAGGGATTGCCCAAGGAGTTTGTGAAATACTGTGGTTGAGGTGGTTACTTGCTGAAATTGGGTTTAGACCGGATGCTGCTACAAAGCTCTACTGTGATAATCAGTTTGCATTTGAAATTGCTAACAATCTAGTGCAACATGATTGAACTAAGCATGTAGAAGTTGATCGGCATTTCATTAAGGAGAAGCTGGAGCATAAGTTAATTTCTATACCTTTGGTGCCTTCTTCAGAGCAGCTTGCAGATATGCTGACCCATGCCGTGTCAAAGCGCCGATTTGAAGACTCACTTGACAAGTTAGGCATTACCGATATCTATGCACCAACTTGAGGGGGAGTGTTGACGTGAGTCAACATTCCTATTAGGAATAGAATTTATATTTTATTGTAATTATCTAATTTGAGTAGAATTAGGAGATTTTGTACATATTTGCTATTTGTACCCACTCTGTATGTAGTATATATATTCCTCCTTGAGAGAAGAATAAACATATCAGTTTAAACCCTAATTATTTTTTAATAAGATCATAGAATATGTGATTGTTTTCCAAAGCAGTACGTTGCAAGACCAAAATCACATAAATACATGAGAGTTTTATAAGAAGTATAAAAGTTAAAATACAATGTTGATGAGTTCCCCAAGCTTTTGATTCAATTTTTAGTGTCTTCTAAATTAGATAATAAATTAATCACGTATCTTGATGGTTATTAGTGTCATTCGGTCCTATACATATCAAACTGATTTTGTGATTGTTTTTTCAAGGTACGTTTGAAAACCAAAATCACAGATATATACATGAGCGTTTTACAAAAATCAAAGAAATATATAGAATTTTTCAGGGAAATTTGTTGCAAGACCAAGAAATATATGGAAGTTTTTTGGATCTCTACATTGTGTCCTTATATGATTCACCAACAGTGCATGCGTTTTTACTGAAATTGGCTCTAGATCTTTGCTATTGTTAAATTGTGATGAAAGAAATTGACGACTGTACCCACCTATGCTCGGGGCCTCCCCTAGACTAGGAAGACCGTTTGAAACCACAACACAAACAAGGGATGGAAGTGGCCTATCATCCCATCTTTGCAGATCCACCGCACCTAAACCAATCTTTGCTGGGTCTCTTTTGTTGGTTTTTCAGTAGTGTGGTAGTTGGTTCTATTTATTGTAGTGGTTTTTTGTTTGGTTATGTTTTAGACTTTTTTGTTAGCCCGTGGCATGAGTAGTACTCTTTCCTACCCTGGGGTTTTTCCCATGTGGTTTTCCTAGGAAAGTTTTAACGATGTCACTATTCTCATTCTAATCTTTGTATGAATCTATTGAATTATGAATGAAATCCCTTTTCCTCTAAAAAAAAAAAAAGTCGACTAAGTAGGAGAGAAAAAAGCGGCACGAACTAAAGATTGGGGGTGGGCATCTAGAGCTGAAAATTGGAAAACCAAGCCGCACCAGATGGAAAAAAATTGGAAAAAAACCAATGTTGACTAAAAAGTCAACAAACCGGACCGAATTGATTCAAACCGGTTTCCAAGCCCAACTTCAAAGCACCTTTCTTTTCTAGGCCCAATCATCTCTCTTTGCATGAAATTGGATCTTTGTGAACCAAAAAATAAAATTTTAGTTGGAATTTGTAAAATTTTAAAAAAAAAATCAGGTTCAAAATAGAAAAGACGAAAACCGCATCGAAATTGGTTTAAATCGAATCGGCCAGTTTCATAATTTTTTCACCAAAACTGGACCAAATCACACCGATTAAATAGTATCAGTTTCGATTCCAATGTAAGATGGAAACTGATTTGGATCGGACCATGCCACCCCTACTGAAGAGAGCTGGCAAGGCTACAGCTGCGAGATGGAGTTGTAGACGTTTACTATATGCAAAATAATCTTGAACCAATTTAGCACTTAAACCACACCTTAACACAAATTTGACAATTAAACAATAGAACAATTAGAAATAAGACTTACTTGAATTAGCCATAATCAAATATACAAGATGATCTTCTCCTCTAAGTATTCCAAAATATCAAGGCTTACAATAGGACAAGCATATAGAATATGAACGTTTGAATATGAGAGCAGAGACCAAGCCTTTTATACAAGTTGCTTTACAACTGACTCTCCTATTAAGAGACAACTGTTAGCCAAAACATGGAGATAATGGATATATCCACCTCCTGTAACAATTATTTCATTTAATCATTATCTGAATAAAAGTCTCATAATATCTTAATTTAAATATAACTCTATTTATTAATTATATGAAAAGGCAAACTCACAAAAGATATGGAAAACCTTACGGGAGTTTCTAGCTCCAACAAATATCCAGTTCGCATACATTTTAGTAGTATAAATATTTTTGTTTTTGGGACATGTATTACTCTTTCTAATTGGCTGGGCCTTTATTTAGTTCATTTATTAGTTAATGTTTTGTTTATTAAGTTTAGTTTGTTTATTTAACATAAAATGATTATATAAAAAAAAGTACTTCACACAAGACAAAATGTTAAAATGGTCAAGCCCCTAAAAAATTGGAGAAACATGTCTAGTCATTGTTTGATAGTGACATGAAATAACTCTTATGTCATTGTCAGATAGTGACACGAGAGTTGTTCAATGTCACTCTCAATGAGTGACATAAAAGTTATTTCATGTCAATGTCGAACAGTGACTGGACTAGGTTGTCTAATTTTTTAGGGACTGAACAATTTTGTCTTAATGCCCTCCTATTTGTCCTTATATGGTAAAACCCCTTTATTTGTCCTTATGACAACGTTTTTAAATAGGAGTTAAAGAATGATTGGGTTTATGTTAAAATATAATAATGACGTGGACATTTCTATTAGCTACTCTTATAACTTTTACGTACGTATAAATTGGAGTGGTATACTATTCCACTGTGCACTTCAATACTGAAGAAGACAAGAAATGGCTGAGAAGTGAAAGCAGTCAGAGAAAGCTGGCAAGCACTCGCATCTCTCGAGCACCACAGACCACCGACCAGTCCATTGAAAATTGAAACATCTTTACAGAGATTCACGTGACTCAATATAATGACCTTGAAGAAATCAAAGGCCACGCCCCCCTTCACAAACAGCACAATAACTTTGTTTGTTCACCATCCACACACCCACCCATCTGCTTCCATCATACACTTTCCTTTTCTAATTTTTGGATAATCTTTCTGGCTTAAAAACTTGAAGAATCCCAAATTATCTTCGTCTCATACATCAAGTCGGGAAACTCCAACCGGAAAAAGAAATTCAGGTAGTTTTATGTTGCAATACATGTCTTTTTCTTTAATTTTTAACGTTTCATGCTGGAAGGAAGTGAAACATATTGACGTCGTGTTTCATGAATGAATAAAATAGCACAAGGACAATCTATTCCAAAAAGTGTAGACAAGAATTTCATGAATGAATATCGAGCTCAATACGTCACAAAACTCCTACACCACATACATTGTAATTAATCGTCTCTAGTGATTTGCCTTTAGTTAACTCAAGACAATATGTATATTAATTCTTGAAGATGTTTGTAAATATTTCTAGTTATGGTATATGAGAACATATTTCTTATACATTTAAACTGTAATATAATCTTGGAATAGGATGCAACAAATGAAAACTGTCGTGCAATTTATGTGAAAAAAAATTTGCTAAAAAAATGTGAAAAGAACTCAAAAGCCAAAGTCATAATCAAAGTACTAAAACTAACATTTAAGTAGGTTAGCAGTTGTAACATTTCAATATACTTGCAAAAATTATTCTACAATTGAATTATGAGACAAAAAACTGCACTGAATTTTGTGGTAAAAAACTGCAACAAACAGAAACTGCAATGCAATGTATGCAAAAACATATGCTCAAATGTGAAGTGAAAACCAAAAGGCAAAAATTAGATGAGCAATTATAACTTTTCCATAGACTATCAAAAATTATTTTGAAATTGAATTATGGAACAAGAAACTTCACTGCAGTTTGTGGTCAAAAACTGCAACAAACAAACGGAAATTGCAGTGTAGTTTATGAAACAAAATCTGCTCAAAATTAGAAACAAGCATTGAATGGCAGTTAAAAACGACTATCCACTGATGAAACAATTGTATAATTTTCATTAACTTCAAAAAATAATCATAATATCCAATAATAAGTTGTGTAGCCAATTAAAAGCAACTAAAAACTGCAATGCAATGTTTGCAAAAACTGCAATGCAAAAACTGACTATACATTCACTAAATCATATCTAACATAACCGATCGTCAACTGAGAAAGAATGTTCATATCACCACCTTGCAAGTCTTCCGGTTGTGCCCAGTAACACTGCACCGACTGCATTTCAATGGCCTTGTAAATTCACCAAAAGCTTTGATCCTTTTTGTTGGTGGTCTTCTGGCTAGCCTATTTGTAATTGGCAGAAGCACAACTCTAGTTGTAGAACCGTTGCTGCCCAAGCCTTTCCCAATATCTAGAATAGGAAAAATAGGACTCTCATAGGCTTTTCAAAAGAAGTCAGACCTGTAGTAACACTTCATGTAATCATAAACTGAATATTTCTTTGCTAGAATTGTAGCCACCGCATGCGTGCAAGGAAAACCATCACAGAATAATCAGCAAATACTTCAAAAACAGTACAACTAGAACGACGAGTTGCCCAAGTCCTACCAACCTCCACGTTTTCCCACAATCTAGTTTCCATCTCCGGACACAAAATTGTTGTCCACTTCTCGGCTTCAATTCATCGTTGAGAATTCAATACCATCAATTTTTGTCGAATCCCTTCTATCAAAGGTAGCACTGGCAAATCTCAAAACGCATAACCTAATTATTAAACAACTCGGCTAAACTGTTGTTTGACACCACCCCATAACTCATTCCTTTGAAAAATGTGTTGGCATAGTGATCTCTAGACAAATAAGATATAAATGTCTTCACTTTCGAACTCCCAAGAATCACCAACTCGTCCATTGCTACCTTAAACTCGTCCTCCGTTACAGCATATGCGCATCTAGCAGCCAAATGTTTGAGCAATTTCCCATAACCTGACTTCGGATACTTCGATATCTAATTCTGTTTGAGGTGATAGTAACAGTAAGAATGAGGCCATCCAGGAAACACAAACCCCATTGCATTTAACTAACCTTGACTGCGGTACGAGAAAAACGTTACCACTCTCCCCATTGGTAGCAATATAGCAGTCAAATGTTGAAGAAACCAAGTCCAATTCTCCTCTGTCTCAGAATCAGCAACTACAAAAGCTAGAGGATATAACCCTGCAAAACAAAACCAAAAGCACAATTATAACCAACAAACGGAAACTGCAGTGTAGTTTATGAAATCAAATATGCTCAAATTTGAAAGGAAACCAAAAGACAAATCCATGATCAAAGTACTAAAACAAAGTTTAAAACACATTTAAGTTCATGAGGAGTTGCAACATTCCCACAAACTTGCAAAAATTATTTAAAAAATTGAATTATGAAATAAGAAACTGCAACAAATGAAATCTGCATTACATTACAGTAACCATACCTTGATTCCCATTCTTTCCGGAAGCACAGAGAAGCTGTCCCTTATACTTGCTCTTCAAAAACGTAGCATCAATGAACAACAAGGGTATGCAATATTGAAATCCAGCAATGCAACCACGAAACAACACAAAAAACCATCTAAAACGGTTAATTCCAGCTTCACATTCAAGAACACAGAGAGACCTAGGGTTAGTTTCCTTTATGGCGTCTACATAGCACACTAACTCGTTGAAGGATTTCGACTGATCACCGTGAACGTCCAATTTAGCTAACTCTTTGCCAAACCATGCATGGTAGTATGAAATGTCTATACCATAATAATCTTTGAACTCGTGTATAATCTCGACTGGCTTCAGCTCTGGTTTTGCACGAATTCTGTCCACAAAGAGAGAGGACACCGACCCGCACATGTATGCACATTATTTAACGTCTGAATTACAAAACAGCCAGTAGCTTCACAATGAGAAGCTTAAACATGCTAGCTACAACCCTCCAATTTCTTATTCGAAAAAACAGCAATCACCCTCTTCTTGTCATTGCTGGCACAAAAAAAATTAAATCCTACTTCAAGAGCGTACTTGCACAATTTCAACCGGAACTCCTCTGCACCACCGTCAAACTTCTGCCCTACGTGATGTATATACGTCTCCCACTCATTCAACAAAAAAAGCTTAGTACTTACTCCCTTTGACCTGCCCAAAAATTCATTTCTGTCTTTGATAGTACTAGAACACGATGGCTCGCCCTTTTCACATGCTATCAACTCCTTATTTACACAAAAATCACCACTATATTCACTGCTCCCGCATAAAATCCTTCACTAAAATATCCACACTCTTCGCATTTGATATCGACAAATATGTCCTCATCATGTCCAAATCACTATCTGTTTCTAGTAAACAACTCGGATAACTGGGCAGCGAATACCGTAATGTGAAACTACCCAACTGCAAACCTCTAAACCTTAGACACAAATTGTTCGAAACATCAACCATGGATGACTTTGATGAAACTAAAAACATAATGGTTTCCGACTTATATGTGCACTTGGGGTAGAAACCTCCATTAGCCTTGACAATGCAAACAAAACAACAACAACAA